GGGTTAGGGTTTTCGGGTTCTTGATGGGTATTTGTGTTTCTGCTGTTCCTAGGTTAATACTTTTGTGTTGATTCTCAGGCACATTGTTAATCGGATCATGAATCTGCATGCTCCAGGTATGCTAAATCTTTTGATCTGATGAGTTTTTCTTATGGGTTTCATGTTGGGTTTTGAATTTGACATTTTTTTGGGTCTATGATTCTGTTTCAGAATGGTCAGGAGAAGTTCGAAGTGTCACTTACTCTCCTGATGGTAACACTGTCACTGTGGCTTATCGTGTGACTCTCTACGGCACTGATGCTGAGGTATTTCCCCACTCTTGTTTTGCAAAGATCCCTTGATTTGATTAGCCTTTAGCCTAAGAGGTCTTTGTCTTATTGTCCGAGAAGCTGCAAAGCTAGAAATCTAGTTTAGTGTCCCTTTTGATTGTGTGCATTTGTGATATCTTGAGTGTATCAGACCCGTTTAGCAGCCAATTCAACGCAGAGAGTGTATGTTTACGAACTCTTGAGAGACACCGACTCAGGGTTGTAGATTCTTTTATCACTCGCAAACCTTAGAGATGATAATAACAAAGGTGAATAGGGAGGATTCACCTGTTTTTGTTGGTAACAAATGCTGGGATTTGCTTTCTTATATACTCTCACGAGCGCATTATGTGTATATTGTTTTCAATGTCAGCTGAAATCATTTGCTAATGAATCACTGTTTTGTGTTGTGTAGATATTTAGGGAATCAACAGGCACCACTTCGGTAGATGATAAAGGCTATGGTGATGCTGTGCAAAAGGCTGAAGCAATGGCGTTTCGCCGTGCCTGTGCAAGACTTGGATTAGGGCTTCATCTTTATCACGAAGATGCTCTGTAAAGGCTCGTTTTCCATGGCAAAGTATATTTTTGGTGTTCCTGACTGCCAAGTAGTAGTAGTCATTGAAAGTTAAACTCACGGAAGCCACGGAAGCTAAGTTTTTGGTATCTAAGATTTGTATCTACAGATATTGAAATGGCCTTAGGATTTGAGATCGGAAACGAGCTTCATAAGACTTTAATATAAGAAAGCTCTTGTTGCATCTGTAACCCAATTTTAACCAGTAAAAGTTTCAGTTTACAGATATTGAAATGGCCTTAGGATTTGAGAGCGGATAATGCACTCTTTTTCCTTTCCTTTTCTCAGTTTCCCCAATCCTTGTTATATCTCAAGTCTCCAACACTAGTGAACAGTGGATAGAAACTCACTTGAAAGTATATCCAATCGAAAAAGAGGCTATAATGAGATAACAGTGGCAAAAGACATTAGAGGAACTCTCATGGTTTCAAGGATACATCATAACTCATAATACTGGCTTCAAATGTACTTAAAAAAGATTTGACCATCTTACATACTCTTCATAAGGAGCCTCATATGTTTAATCATTTTAGAAAGTCTTGGAGTATTTCCTGATCTCGAACATGATAGACTGAATGGAGACAAGATCCCTGTTCAGAGCGGATCCACCGGGTATCTTCTTGATGCAGTCAGTGAGTCTTGTGTAATAGAGCAAAAGTTGTGTCAATGCAGCTCTCAAGATCTCCATACCACACAAGAAGTTACTGAAGGAAGTCATTATATCTTTGTCCATCAATTCTATCGCCGTCTTCCATCTGCTTCCAAAGTCCTTCACCAGTGGCTCTACTTCAGCAACTGTGATGGACTTCTCTGGATTTGAACTTGAATCCTCAGCTGCTAAGTGTTTTACAGTTTAGTGGTTATTTGACATAACATAGGATGAGTGCGATGACAAGAAAGAAACAAGTTGCTTACATGCTCGACTTTTCACAAATTTTATTAAATCACTGAAATGCTCCATCAGCAATATTTCCTGCGAGATGAAATAAATTAAATGGACACATAATAATCGCCACAAGGTCATATCTTGATATGGCCTTTCATTATCTTCATGAAACTACTATCACCATCCTTGAAAATTAAACTATCGCGACTTGACATCAAACTTATGGTGTAGGATACTACAAAGCGGTGCTTCTGTTACGCATGAAGCAAACTATAAAGAGAACATGACTTCAAGGAAGTTTAATTCAAACTGCAACATTGGCCCTTACCACGAATAACGAAGTGTTGGTCTTTAGCAATTCCTCAAAATGCATTTGAATTTTTCCACCTTCTGGTCCAGCTTCCTGGAATTAAGATGCAGGAAGAGGGTCAAAATAGTTTCCTCTGGTTGGTAAAACTCGATAGATATGAATGAAAATGCGGATATGCTGAATGATTCAGAAAGGCATTTCAAACCAAGCAAAGACTGGTCTACATGAGTGCATTTAACATGAGACGGCCAATGATTCACTATACCTTCAGTACAGCAATTGTCATATCATAGTTGTTTATGAGAAACACAATTTGCTGCTTTGGCTTCGGGAACAAATTTGCAAGCTTCAGAATCAAGCCATCTACAGCCATTCTTAAACGTTCCAAATTTATATCAAGCTGCAAATTTTTTTGTAAACAATGTCAAGCGCTTTGAGTGATGAGCTCCAGGTAACACATACCAGCAGTAGAGATAGAGGGAATGGTTATAACGAACCTGCCCATCTCCGTATTCAACATTCAGGTGAATAAAGGAAGCCGTGAATTCAGCATAACGCCTCATGACATAGTGAGGATGAACATCATCTTCCCATAATGTCTTTATGTTTGCATCTCGCAAACTGCTGAGATGTGAATCAAACACCATCTTGAAACGGGGCCACAAAGATATATTAACCTGCACAATTTGCAAATTGCAAAAGAATCATTGAGAGAGGAATATGGAACCTAAGGAAATTAACCATAGCCGCATCTATGAGCTTATATCTAAAATCTATGCAAGAGTTTTGAAGCTATACCAGAAAGAAAACATAAACTGAAACCAGCTGCAGGTAAGCACAATAATAGTGAATATTTTTTTTTGCTTCAATTGCAAACGAGATTAATATTTAAGAGTAGATTAAACAGAATAAAAGAGATAGGGTGTTATGAACCTTGTCCAGATATGAATCCAGGCATGGAATCCTTCGGCGAGACATGATAAGCTGTGAAAAAGTGGCAAATTGAGAATTGCTTAAACACTTAGTGGCACATAAATAAACCCTTGCAAAAGGCTGAATCTAGGTAGTACCTGGTGGTGGTGTACGATGCGAATCATAAGCATTAGGCCGATTGCATCAAAACAGTTTGAAAGTATGGGATTAAAGTGCTCATCGATGACAGAAAACGGACCTGTATCATGGAGAATTTAGAATCTACCAAAAAAAAACAGTGATTCTATCATCATAACATTTTTACAGTAGAGGGGTTCAATTTTGTATCCAAAAGCAGATAAGATGTTTAGGTCACGCTCCTGATCACCATATTAAATTTGTAACTACTATTCTACGTATGTTGGAGGGAGTTCTGCAGGATATCCTGATGAATTTTTAAACATCAAACACAAAAATCCACAAAGTTTGGTATACCATTGCCAGGAAAAAAGGGAGAAAGATCAGAAATTACCCGCAAAAATCTCATAAAATATGGACTCTTCACCAAAGAAATCATCACAAAATATATACCTGTTAAAATGACAACATATAACATTAACCAGGGGGTTGAGCGGGGAGCAACAACAAGACAAATAGAAGAGGGGAAAAATCAACAGAACTCAGAAGTAGCTGTATCCATAAGTAGCTTGTGCAAGCTCCGGAAGAGCACTTCATAAGGATATTTGAGAGAGCTGGCTTCGGCTATGTGCGGGATCAATGCAGGTTGATCAATTTCCTACAGCAGACATACTGAAACTTAAGTTTTTTTAACAAACTCTTAGAAAACAATACCTTCAACTCGACTATAAGGAAAACAGATATAGGTCAAGTGAAAGTAAGGTAACAAATACAGTTAAAGAAACAAAAATTTCATTTGGATTTACTTCTTCTATACCAGAAAAACCAAATTGATACTCAACCAAATTAATCCAAACTGAAAATGAGAAAAACCAAACCGAAACTTACATCTACTTGTGGAGCCTTCACTTTAAGGATACAAATTGTTAAAAAAACAAAACTGAAATGTACAGAACTAAACTGAAATGTACCGAATGATATATACCTTTATAATTTTTATCCTCTCACCCAAAGCAAAGACGGCAGAACGATTTTTTAGTGGCTCCCTAGCTCTTGAGAAGAGGCCGGTGCTTCTAGTCTCCACCCCAATCAAGTCATATGCTGTGGCTATATCTAACTGTAGTTTCTCAAGTGCTTGAATATAAGCACGAAAATGTGCACTTAACACCTGAAAATAGACCTCACAATTCATTATGTGTAACAAGAATTGAAAGCCTAAGCTAACATACAGCTTTTTTTATCTAACACTTGTCCAGCTCTAGCGAGACAAATGGCTTGACTGAAGATGAATACAAGGATAGAAGAGCTACTTGCATGTAACGTGGAAGTTGATGTTCTATTCACTACCTTACATTTGCAGAGACTAATCTACGACAAATCTATCTTATACTTGCACGTGACGTGGAAGTAGATGTTATCCCTTCCTCACCCAATTCAGAGTATATGAAGGAGTTGCAGCATTGTGTAACTAATCAAATAAAATAAAAAAATATCACCTTGTTCATGGTATCAATGTATGCAGCACGAACATCCATAAACACTTCTTTTCCATGTTCTTTGAGGAAGGAGATAATATACCTATCATTCAATAGTAATTGGTGAATGAAGTATGGATCCACATAAATGTGGTGTAGAAGCAAAATAATATCAAGTTGGATATCAGTAACTTGTATAAAACTCCACCAACACCATGCAGGCAAAATAAACAACCAAATGGATTGCAAGGTGACAACCACATACACATCTTTGCAGGAAAAAAAGTCAACATGTCTTTAATAACATTACTCACTTGTATTTTAATAACACACTCTGTTGAAGAATTTGGATGTTTGTTTTGGGTTTCCTCAGTGCTATAAGCTTCTGGACAATGAAATCATATACCTGCAAAACGAAACCTACACAGTTAGAATGCTCCGTTCACGTACATGCCCTTTCAGCATTGAAAGAGAACAACAACACATGACTTAGGCTTAAAACAGTATAAATTATTCATTGAACTTATGTTAGATGGCAACTTTGTCCTGGCCGAAACTATTTTAGAGGGAAGGAACAATGATTCAGATAGCTAATATCATCTCAATGATTTAGAATAGTTGGGTTCCGAACTTAACATTTCCTGTATATATTTCTCCAACAATTAACAACTTTAAGAAACATGCATGTAGTCTGTTTTGAGTAAATAAATACATAACTGTTAGGACCTATCACACTCCCTTCAGCGACATCATAGAAGAAGTCAAAAGTATAACACAGAAATATATAATTGTTCGGTATCAAGTCACACAAAAAGTAGATTAATAACCTTGGAAATAGCTTTTTGCCGAAGCTTTTCGAGCTCAGGCTCAACATCTTTTAATGCTTTGGAACTTTTAACCGCAGCATCTGCCTCTACAAACTTCAGCTTCTTACTCAGAATTTCAAGCATTCTCATATACTCTTCATTCACCTGAATAAGTAAAATAGCACGACTATCAGATTACAAATAAAATATTCTTCAGCAATCAATTCTAGGCCTAAATGCATCCCTACAGCTTTACAAAAATGTACTCGGGGGCAGACCAATACAAGAATTACATGGTTTAAGAAAACCAAATGAAGATAAGTGACCAAATTCCAGTTCTACTATTGCACATAGTGGTAACATATACCCAGCTTAACAAGAAACAATAAAAAGATCGAAACATACACCACATGAAGAGATCCTATAATCCCACACCCTACCAAAGCTACATTAAA